TCCATTTAACATCGTTAGTATGCATTTAGAAATGCTATGATTTAGGTTAATCATAAATTAAATCCATAGATTAAAATCTTGCATTTTGATTCTTAGATTACTATTTATTTGGTAATTCTGATTTTTTTGTTCAACTTTAAAAATTCATAATTAAATGTTGAAAAAATTGTATGGAGATGATTCCAGTATTATAACACTATATCTAAAAACTTGTCACATTTAACACAATTAAAGAATGCCAACATCATTATCATGGTAATTAAAGAAAGCAAGTTATAAAAATTGTTTCAGATTTCCGTACTCTATCACTACTGTAGAAAACAACTTTTATGGCTATTAAAAAGGGGCTTTTAATGACAATTTTTTAGGCAAAGTAAAAAAATGTCGACGTAAATAGATTAAGATTTCATGGCAATTAGTAATCGCTGTGAAAAATGAACTTTTCATGGTGGTTTATAGTAAAAAAACCACAATGAAAGTCCTCAATAACATCATTTATTGGTTTCCTTTCACTACTTTTTTTTTTATTTAACCATCATAAAAATTTATTTTCACGACGGTTCTATGAACAACTACTATGAAAGTTCAAAGTTTTTTTTTTTAATAAATTTACTTTGATTTGTATACAACCTCCCCGTAACACCAAACAAAATAGATCAAAACAAAATAATACAAAACCAAGTCAAAGCTAAAACTCAAATCTAACACTAAAATAAATAAAGTTTCCAATCCTTATTTGATCATGAACTAAAAAACTTAACCAATCCATTCTTTAACTAAACCTAATAAACAATGAACTAAAAAAAACCTATATTCAACTATTAATATCAAAAATCTGACAAATCATATTCAACACATATTTTCAATTAATGTTGTTGACAAAGCATCCCTCATCGAGTTGATTTCTTTGGGATCATATGCTGTACTATTTTCGAATGCCTGTAAATTAAAAAGAACAAAGTCATTAGTCGAATAGATAAAAAATGTAAAAAAAATTGAAGAATTATAATGTAACTTCTATTTACCTCATCTAATGCAATAACTCCTGTCTTAATTATGTTATTCATATAATGAATCATGTAATATCCGCATTCAACTCTCCTAAGTTGATAATAGTACTAACAAAATGAAAAATTGAATTGAATATTTAACTTTGATTATCTAAAAAATTTATAAATATATACTTAGCTCAGAATAACATACTTGTGGGAGAATCCACATTGATGGTGTCTTTTGTAACATTTCAAATTTTAGGCTTAGAAGTATCAGAAATAGCCTAAAATGGGCAATGTGACAACCGCTCTTTCAAACCATTTTAGATTAAATCCAATAATTTATTTGATTGATTAACCATGATAGAAAAGAAAAAACCTTAAAATTTTAAAATCGCTATCATAGTTAAAAGAAATAAACTTATGTTACAAGCCACATCAATCGTTAACTTGGGCCTTGGACTTTCAAAGTCCAGAAATATCATTCAACCGTTAGCCTAAACCAAACTTATACATTCAAACACACGAACTAATAAAACATTTTAATATAAGTCATGGAGCCTATTAGTCAAAAGTCAACACTATCAAATGAGCGTAATACGCAAAGTCTTAAATATCTCTGGTCTTCCAATGACCTCCCATATCAGATAGCAGTAATTAAAAGTATTAGTTTACAGCATTAGAGTATGTGGGCCCTATGTGGCAATATATAACAAATCAGCACATATAACAAAAGTCGGGAGGCTATACAAGCTATAACAGCACGCTATACCTCCGGAGCCTTCCTTGATGGGCCACCACCTGAACTATCACCTGAAGATAGTAAAAACCACGGGTGAGACAAACGCCTCAGTAATCAACTTTCCAACTCATCATACATACTAACACGTGCTCATAAGGCGTCAAGTGGGACAGTTATTAATTCTCGAAAACATAGATATATAATTTCAATCATCCAAACCCTCACTATGGGGGCTAACACACAAGCCACATAAGTCTATCGCTCACTATGAGGGATTAATCAGACATATAGGCCTATCCCTCACTCTGGGGGACGAATAAGAAGCCACACAGGCCTATCCCTCACTATAGGGGATGAAGGAAGAAGCCAACCAATGTGCACCAATGGCGGCCTTACCACGTGGTAGGATAGCACTCAATCCAAAATCCAAAGAACAACCAATCATTCACAATATAACAAAAATATCTCAATATTTTCCCAGTATAATCCATAAGATATAAATCATATATCTTTTTCAAATTTGTCAATCACAATTCCAAAAATCCCACAAAACAATTTTCATAGCTCAAAAGATATAACATATCTACTCGAGTTCCAAATAACAAATATTATTCTAAAATAGCAAAATACTCACAAACAACATATTAGCACATATAACAAGTGGAAAGTGGTTATCTCTCACCAAAGCAATACTAAGGATTACCACAAGGTCAATCCTTTGTTCAACCAATAACTAATCTATACAATTAATATGACCACATATTAATATAAACTAATTAATTAATTAATTAAACTTCTCTATATTATTTAAATTTCTAATTTAATTGAATTTTTTATTCTAAATTCCCGCAACTCTCATAACCCAAAAATTATTAAGTATTTTAGAAATAACTTAAAATTTCTAACAACCCAAATTATTTATTTACCACCTCCAAATTATTTACCTTAATGCAGGAAGTGTGCTGACTTAGTCAATCTGTCCATAATTACCCATATTGCATCATAGCCAGCCAAGGTTCTTGGTATACCAGTAATGAAATCCATAGAAATGCTATCCCATTTCCATTGGGGAATATCGAGATTCTTTAATAGTCCTGGAGGCCTCTAATGTTCTATCTTGACCTTTTGACATGTCAGACACTTCATTACAAAGTCTGTGACATCCCTCTTCATTTTTTGCCACCGGTAGTTCTTTTTCAGGTCTTGGTACATCTTGGTTATCCCTGGGTGTATCGTGTAATTACTTCGATGCCCTTCTTCTAGAATAGTCCTTTTGATTTCCTCATTATTAGGGACACAAATCCTCTTCTTGTACCTCAGGATTCCTTCCTCACCAATTTCATAATCAGGCACCCCATGGGTTTGCACTTCCTCTCGGATGCTTAGTAACCGGTCATCCTCCATCTGTGCAGCCTTCAAGTCTTGAAAGAACTCATAATCACCCAAAATTGATTGTAGAGTGGCTGGAGCCTCATGCATCACTTGGAGATCTCTCAATCTCTCTAAGCAGTAGTATTCCTCCAAACTCATGTGAAACACATGCACCATTTTCCTACTCAAAGCGTCTGCAGCCACATTGGCTTTACCCGAATGATACTTAAGCTCAAAGTCGTAGTCCTTGATGAATTCCATCCACTGGCGTTGTCTATTATTCAATTCCTTCTGATCTATTAAATACTTCAGGCTCTTGTGATCGCTGAAGACTTCAAACTGTGATCCATATAAGTAGTGCCTCCAGATCTTCAATGCAAAAACCACCGCCGCTAATTCCAGGTCATGTGTAGGATAATTTTCCTCATGCGGCCTTAATTGCCTAGATGCATAGGCAACCACCTTTCCTTCCTGCATCAGGACACACCCTAAGCCCTTAAGTGAAGCATCAGTGTAAAGGGTGTACAGTTTACTAGGATCTAGAATAGTCAATACTAGAGCCGTGGTCAACTTAGCCTTCAGTTCTTGGAAAGCCGCCTCACATTTTTCGCTCCAGATAAACAGTTGGTCTTTCTTGGTCAACTTAGTTAGAGGCATGGCGATCTGAGAAAATCCCTTGATGAATCTTCTGTAATACCCAGCTAAGCCCACAAAACTTCTTACCTCCATCATAGATTTGGGTGTTTCCCATTTCAACACAGCATCAACTTCGCTAGAATCAACGCTACTCCCTCGGCAGATACTACATGACCTAAGAACTTTACTTCTCTAAGCCAGAACTCGTACTTACTTAACTTAGCATACAACTAATGACCCCTCAATATTCATAATGCAATGTAAAGATGCTCTCGGTGTTCTTCCTCATTCTTAGAGTATATCAGAATATCATCTATAAACACCACAATAAACTTGTCCAAATATGGCCTAAAGATCCGGTTCATATAGTCTATAAACACTGCTAGAGCATTCATCAAACCAAAAGGCATTACTAGAAACTCATAATGTTCGTATCTAGTGTGAAAGGCCGTCTTCGAGATGTCCTCTGCTCTAACTCTTAATTGATGATATCTCGACCTTAAGTCAATCTTGGAAAACACCGCTAACCCCATTAATTGATCTAGTAAGTTATCAATCCTAGGTAAAGGATATTTGTTCTTGATAGTCACTTTATTCAACTGCCTGTAATCTATACACAATCTCAAGCTCCCATCTTTCTTTCTCACAAACAGTACTAGTGATCCCCACGGTGAAACACTTGGTCTAATAAATCCTTTTTCAAGCAACTCTTCAATTTGCTTTTTCAGCTTTGCCAATTCTGAAGGTGACATTCTATACGATGCTTTAGAAATTGGAGCTGTCCTTGGTACTAGCTCAATGGAGAATTCAACTTCCCTTTCAGGAGGTAAACCGGACACTTCCTTAGGAAATACCTCAAGAAACTCCTTTACTACCTCGATTTGCTCTATACCAACTTCTTTATCCCTACTAGCGGAAAAGAAAATAGTATATGCCTGACAACCCTTCTGGATGCACTTAGTTGCTTGAGTAGCAAATAGCCACAAAAGACTATTAATAGCCTCAACTATTGTAGTGCACAAAGGAAGAGTTACCATCTTCCTTTTGCAATCCAAAATGGCATTATTTGCTGATAGCCAATCCATGCCAATAATCACATCAATACCCTTGAGGGGTAGACAAACCAAATCAATCACAGACTCACAATTCTCAAATTTAAGCACAAGACTTAAACACGCCTGTGTGGTTAACACAGTGGCTCCCGCTAGAGTTGACACTTTCAACATGTAAGACAAATCATGCATTGGAAATTTAAACTTTTAAGCACATTCTGCAGCAATAAAAGAATGAGTGGCACCAGAATCAAATAACATAGGTATATTATGTCCTTGAAGAGAGACAGTACCTCTAATCAGATTAGGAGACGTACCAGCTTTCTCTCTAGTCAGAGCAAAAACTCTCTCGGGCACTGTGGATCTAAAACTGGGAGTTTGCTCTTGCATCTCTGGACAATTACGAGCTATATGTCCAAACTTATGGCATCTGTAGCATTCCCAACACTGTCCTGGGTGATTTCTCCCACATCTTATGCAACGACCACTAACACTTGGTGTGGATTTGGCCAGCTCATGGTGGACACTCCGATCTCCTCCAATACGGTTCTCCTGAGCCTGTCTCCTTTGCATAAAGCCTCCACGGGCTGAATTCTTCTGATTTTGGCTTTTGCCTCTGCTTGAGTTACCTAAGCTCCCGTAACTATAGTTATTCTTTTTATTGATTCCTCCCATTGGCCTCATAAAAGTAGAGAATCTACCTTGATTATCCCGACGTCAACTCTCCTGTACGTCTCAGGTTCTACGAGCTGTCATCCTGAGTTTCGTTCAAGCATCCTTAAAAATCTTAAACTCATATAAGGCCATTTGCTGCTTCAACTCTGGCCTCACCCGTTCTATCAATTGTCGGGCCATCCACTCTGGATTATCATTCTGCTGCAGGTAAGTAACATGCTTGGAGAGGTCAATATACTTGGCAATAAACTCATCCTCATGCACGTTCTCCTGTCAAAGAGCATAAAAAGCTGTTTCTTTTTCTTGTCTCATGGATGGGGGAAAGTAGTGATCAAAGAACATTTACTTGAATTCATTCCAAGTAATCCCTGAGTCATCTATGCAACTTACGCTCCTCCACTACCTCTTAGCTCAGTCCCTCAATAAGACTACTGCTGCTTGTACCTTTTGGTAGGTATTACAACCACAAGCCTTGAATATTGTCTCCATATCATCAATCCAAGCCTCAGCTTTGTCAGGATCCATATTCCCATCAAAAGTCTTTGGGTGATGCCGCTCTATATCCTTCCATACACTTTTAAGGTTCACCACCTCCTCTTTTCCTTGTCGCCTTCGCGAACTACTCTCTTCTCTGGTTCCTTCGATAGAATCCCTGTGGGTGATAGAATTTCCCACAGACAGCTCAGGAAGCCCACTTTCTTTGAACTCTTCCACAGCTTTCTTGACTCTCAAATCTTTCTCCATCTTCCTTACTCTCTCATCTACCACCATAACTACCACTTCCCTTAGCTGTTGTAGTAAGGTCTCTTGATTAAACTGCAGAGGATTTGTTGGTTGATTAGGTGGGTTTATGGATTCATCCCCACCTTGATTGGTTTGTCGGGATCGCGTCCGTATCATTCTCCCCACCTAAGGATGGAACCCACCAAAAGAAACACAAAGTATGGTCAAGCACAGACACAAAGTAACAGGGAAGGTTATGTGAGATTATTATATATTGCCACTAAATGTAATGTAATGCAACCCAATTCACAGAATCTTTAGCTCTGATACCAAATTGTGACAACCGCTCTTTCAAAACTATTTTAAATTAAATCTAATAATTTATTTGATTGATTAACCATGATGAAAAATAAGAAACCTTAAAATTTTAAAATTGCTATCATAGTTAAAAGAAATAAACTTATATTACGAGCCACATCAATCGTTAACTTGGGCCTTGGACTTTCAAAGTCCAGAAATATCATTCAACCATTAGCCCAAACCAAACTTATACATTCAAACACACGAACTTAAAAAACATTTTAATATAAGTCATGGAGCCCATTAGTCAAAAGCCAACACTATCAAATGAGCGTAATATGCAAAGTCTTAAATATCTCTGGTCTTCCAATGACCTCCCATATCAGATAGCAGTAATTAAAAGTATTAGTTTACAGCATTAGAGTATGTGGGCCCTATGTGGTAATATATAACAAATCAGCACATATAACAAAAGTCGGGAGGCTATACAAGCTATAACAGCACGCTATGCCTCCGGAGCCCATTAGTCAAAAACCACGGGGTGAGACAAACGCCTCAGTAACCAACTTTCCAACTCATCATACATACTAACACGTGCTTGTGAGGCGTCAAATGGGACAGTTATTAATTCTCGAAAACATAGATATATAATTTCAATAATCCAAACCCTCACTATGGGGCCTAACACATAAGCCACATAAGTCTATCCCTCACTATGGGGGATTAATCAGACATATAGGCCTATCCCTCACTCTGGGGGACGAATAAGAAGCCACACAGGCCTATCCCTCACTATGGGGGACGAAGGAAGAAGCCAACCAATGTGCACCAATGGCGGCCTTACCACATGGTAGGATAGCGCTCAATCCAAAATCCAAAGAACAACCAATCATTCACAATATAACAAAAATGTCTCAATATTTTCCCAGTATAATCCATAAGATATAAATCATATATTTTTTTCAAATTTGTCAATCACAATTCCAAAAATCCCACAAAACAATTTTCATAGCTCAAAAGATATAACATATCTACTCGAGTTCCAAATAACAAATATTATTCTAAAATAGCAAAATACTCACAAACAACATATTAGCACATATAACAAGTGGAAAGTGGTTACCTCTCGCCAAAGCAATACTAAGGATTACCACAAGGTCAATCCTTTGCTCAACCAATAATTAATCTACACAATTAATATGACCACATATTAATATAAACTAGTTAATTAATTAATTAAACTTCTCTATATTATTTAAATTTCTAATTTAATTGAATTTTTTTATTCTAAATTCCCACAACTCTCATAACCCAAAAATTATTAAGTATTTTAGAAATAACTTAAAATTTCTAACAACCCAAATTATTTATTTACCACCTCCAAATTATTTACCTTAATGAAAAGGATTTTCTACAATTTCCAAATATAAAATTACTATGTTCTAAATTCTAAAAATCTCATTTTTAGTTTAAACCTCAAAATCAAACTATCAAAAATTCAATAGTACTTCAAATATTTATAAATAAATAATCTAATCAAAACTTTAATGGTATAGCTATCATATATATATTTCTGTAAATAATAAACTTTTTAGCTACAATAATTATTTAAAAACCTTCAGTCACCTAATAAATAAAACTAGACCGATTAAAATCTTAATAATATGTCAAACAACCCAAATAAATTACTTAACTTGAATTTAATCGGTAAAAACATAATATAAATCATATATAACAGATTTTTCAACTAGAAAAATTAATTTAAATACTAAAAACCAACAAATGGACAAACCTACCCGATTAAAATTAACAACTCATTTACCTCTAAATTTTCCTGATCATCTTTTACCAAAACTCCATAATTATATCATATATAAGTCTCAAAATTTTCTCTAAGCACTTTAGTAATACTATCATTATGAAGCTTAAAATATATAGAACATATTCATGAAGAAAGTTTGATAGAAAGAACTATATTTGTGTACCTAGATGATCTCCAAAACTTGTATTACCCTTCAAAATGCTAAACCTTCTCTGCTTCTCTCTCGTTCTCTCTTTCTCTTATTCTCGTTCTCTCTCTTTCTCTCCCGCATGCGACTCAACTTCTGCGTCCCCTCTCCCTTTTATTCTTCATTTCTCCAACCACTCTCTCCTTTTTTGTTTTCCCTTTGGCATTAACTCTTCCTCCCCTAAGTCTTCCTTCTCTCCTCCAAAGTCTTCCAAATGCCATTTTTTTCCTAGGTCTTCCTCCTCCTTTCCACACATTGCCCCAATTTTCCACTTCAATTTCAACTTTCCACCGAAAGTTGGTGGAAAGTTGACTCTATATATATATATATATATATATTATTATTATTATTATTTTCTTAATATTAGGATATTACAGGCAAGCCATCCGACCCCTTTTGGCAGGAGTTCTAGAAGTTTCCTAGAAACACGAGAAGATTTCTAGAGACTAAATCGCAAAGTAAGAGTTTTTTGAAACTATGAGACAGGCAAATTAGAGACTGTGATGAAGTCTCGAGTTCTTGAGTATGGCAATTGGAGATGATTAAGAGCCAAAGGTTATGTTGAGAATCTTAGTGAGATGATTCCTTAGAATAAACCTGAATAGACACCTAATCGTAAATTTGGAAAGTTTTGGGCTGAAAAAGGCAGTGATGGAAACTATACCTGAAAATTGTAGAAGATTTCAAAAAAAAAATGAGAAATGAGATTTTAAGGCTCGTATGAAGCTAAAAACAACAAAAATACCACCAAAGCAAGTTGATGAAATTCCTAGAATTTTGGCTAATTATGAATATTATCTGAGATTGAATTATTTAAAATGTGAGAAAGCCTTAGATAATTGGAGAAAAATACAGGATAAATACTTGAGAAAGCCTTAGATAATTGGAGGAAAAAAGGGCCAATTCTGCTTCCTTAATTGTAATTGCCTTGATCCGTAATTTGTTAATCTTTACTATTACACCTTACTATCGGATCCATTTAGGGTTTAATCAAAACCATTTTAGACCACATTGGATGGTCTTGGGTTCAATTTTATCACAAAAATACTGATTTTTAAATTTTCACTGTTCATCGGGTAAAAATCCAGTTTTCTAGCCCAACTTCAAAAATTCATAACTTAATCTAGAAAAATCAAAATAGAGTGGTTCAAAATTCTATAAAATTATATTTGAATGCTCTTTCAAGAAAAAATAATTTTGTGAACAAATTCTATTTGAAAAGTGTCAAGTTTTTGTGAAAGTCACCTCTGTCCTTTTGGTAAAAACTCTTTTTTTCAGATTCTGAACCTTAACTTTGAAAAATCATTAAAAATCGTGTGGTTGGCCATTTTTAATGTGTTAGCTATCAAAATGAAGCTCAGAACGTGATCTACATTCATGACAAATTTAGAGATTAAAAGCATTCAGGAACTTAATCAAAACGTCACTTAAAGCTGGCGGTGTCAATAGGTTTACAGCACTGCCCAAGTTGAATATTTACATAACCAAAAGTCCATGAATTTTTATGGTTTGACACCATAATTTAACCTTCAATTGGCAGCTTGCCCATGGAAGTTTTAGGCCCTAAAATGTTAGGTTACAGATGGGGGATGAGATTTCAATGAAATCTCAGTAGCAAGATCAATCAACCAAAACATCAACATGCATCATTATAAAGCATTTCATCATTAGCTATCATAGGAGAACTAATCTTCTTATAAATAGGCAACCTCAACATGTAAGGCCATGGCAAGAAATGCAAAGAGACAACCATATCACAAACATCATAGTTCAACCATATAATAGCAAGCATTCATGCCATAAATAACAATACAAAGTTAACATTAATGGCTAATTAAATCCCACTACCTTGATCCAATGCTCTTTCATTTTCTTGTTCTTCTTTCTTACTTCCATAAATGCCAAACCCTTACATGGAAATTCATAAAAAAGACAGCAAGAATCACCAACTAAACTATGGAAAAACAA